TAATAGATAGCAAATCTATTTGAACTAAAGACCTAGGTAGTAGGGAAGATATGGACGCCGAGAGCGGTGAGGTGAGAACCAGAGCTTTTTCCATAAAATCCAATGATCTTTGAGCCTCTGCCTCCTCCGAGCACGAAGGACGTCCCCTTCTGGAGTCCATACTGGCACGTCATGTTTCTCTTGTGCAACCGAAATGCGATAGAGGTGATGTGGCTCTCAGTATACGTGCCCCCAACGGCTTCTATGTAGTCATCATCATCGATCATAAACTGCATGGAAATACCATATAATCAAATCCATAAAATGATAAGTTGGTAATAAAATAAAAACTCACGTTGTCATTTGAAATATGGGTTGCATTCCCATGAGCAGCAAGTGTCTTGTTGCTGGAGTAGTTAAACTTGACGAAGACCACGCCATAATGATTTCTTCCTACACTTATTTTCTTCACATTGTTGAAGAAGCCATCATCCCAGTCGCTTCCTCTTATTCCATCCCTCACTTTTACTCCTCTAGGGACTGTGAAGCGGGACCAATCCTGCTGGGTTTCACCCCTGCCGCTCATATCCGCATAGTTTGTCCCCGTATGTATTGGGACCAAACTGGGAAAATAAGTACGGTGAATAGGAAATGAGTCAACCAAATCATTTATTCTTATCTCATGGAACTTATCTCGCTTCACAACATATATGTAAGCCTTTCTCTCTTTGTCTAAACAACACAATACGAGACTAAGACTTTTATCGTCGATGAAGTAACTTGGCGGATAGTAGAAGACCTCTAAACTCGACCATTTAGGAACTGACACATTCATGAACTTCATCCACTCAACAACCTCTCCATCCTGATTCTTTATCTTTTTTTTTGTCACCCAAATATCTATATTTCTTGTGTAATAGTCTTGCTCTAAAAAAGAAAATCGATCTCCCCGAAAAACAGCAAGAGATTTAGCATCGAATGGACCATTTTTGCTAGGTAAGATACAAAAGGGTTTGAATGTCTCTGAAGAAAAATCGAATTGGATAAAATCTTCATAAGAAGTGAGATTCCTAGCAACCCAATATAAAGTTCCATGCAAAGATACAGTATGATGAGACATTTGTAAATCCCAATTCTGGGATGCAAACTTATACGTTTTCCATACATCAGATCCAATCTCGGTGATATTAGCTTCCACGGTTCTATTGAAGTGACGAGCCGAGAAAATCTTGTAATGATTGTCGGCTCTACTATTGTCGTATCCTATCCCACTCAGAGAACAATGACAACTTTTCGAGTACTTAATCCATTTAATATCTCTCAACCATGGGTTGCAGATCCCAATCCCAATACTTGTAGAATAAATCAATAACCCATTGCAATATTCGATATTTATAGGCGTTGATATATTATAACCAGGAATATATCAGGGAAAGTTATGCACCTAAGAGCGTTCCACCGTTTACAAACAATCTTGAATCGAACAAGAGAATTTAATGTAAGAAAAGTAACTATCTTTTCTTCCAATTCCCACGGAAGTTTCTCGCGTTGCATTTGATGTTTTTGGGTGGTGTTAATGATAAAAAAAAAAATTACATCCCAATATATATATATAAATAAAGTTAGGACTTACAATAGTACTATTACTAC